GCCTCCGGATTTGCAGGGCGGTGGTTTCACTCCTCCAAAGTCAGCACTTCAAAGAGGCCGTTATCGGAGCTTAGTAATAAAATTATTGTAACCTATTAAACTTAAAAAAATCTGTCTGCTTCACCCCCCAGTACCCTGTAGATTCACACCGCTAATTCGGGTTCGGTTACCTTGCTGAAGAATTTGAGGCTATCGTCTCTGGGCAAACACTGTATACTGTCACGAATTAACTGGCCAGAGATAATTTGAAACTCATCATTGTAACTTTTGACTAATAAATGGCTCCTGCATTTTGCAGAATCAATGTCACCAAAGTCAGTTTCTCCTCATGTTTTGTGTTCCTTTTTCTGAAGCTCTTGGCTGCCCCAGACGGTTCTGTTCCGGGAAAGTCACTGGCAGGCTTCACTGCTGGCGTTCAGGGCATCTCTCCCCATGAGGTGAGTGCAGCTACCGTGGAGTTTCGTGGAAGTGTTTTCATCCTTAGGGGAACACAAATTTTCCCAAGTCCAAGTTAACTTTTCGCTAGAGATGTTTGCTTTTAAGTTACTACATGTAAACCATATAAAGAACCGTTGGCCTCTTGAGGAGAGTTTAATGGTAACCTGTACGATTATGGCTTTATGCTTGTGTATAGATGTATTTACTTCCACAACCGCAGAATGTGGTTGGAGATGTTCGGATTTAAGCTGTGCTCCAGAATCCTCTTTTGAGCAACAATGGAAATGAATACCTAGCTGAACCGAAGATATTTTACTGTAAAGTGGTATACTAGACAGCCCACATTTACATGTATGTTACATTTTGGTATCCATGTTTTGTTCTGATGCAACTAGATTTAAAATATCCTGGTAGCTATTAGGTACCATCAGAGAGACTGTTTCACACCGTAAGGGTTGGTTGTTTGATCTGCAAGGCAGGAATGATATCCCACAGGTCCACTGTGAGGATTAGTTTGCATTTGTGGAGTGTGGCATACGTTATCTGGGGTATACTGGATCTGCGTGAAGTACAACAGGAGAGTAACATCTGCACCTTGAATTTGGCTCCAAATGTGGAAATTTTAAAAGTGTGTGTAAAACCACTCACTCTCTTCTTTAATGTGAGATGACATGAATGTTTGCAGGTAAACCTGTTACCTGTTCTGCTGTGCTCTGAGCTAGTGCAAAACAATTCCAATTCAATTTTTGTGGAGCTTCCTCAGGTCACTCTGATGTTGCTTTTGAAACTGGAGGTTTCAATTGGAGGTTGCTTTTCTCGGGCAGGTACAGTTTTCTCTGCGGAAGATCTCACAAGACATTACTGTCTCCTGGAAATTACATTACTTGAATAAAGCTAATGGCTGGAACTTCTATTGGGGACAAAATTAAGCGACAGGAAGGAACAGTCCTTAGAAAAGTGAAGTGGAAGTTGCTGGTGTTGAATTAAATTACAAAGTATCTTTTATTCATGTATTTCCCTTATAGAGCACAACCAAAGAAGAAGAAGAAAGTGGATGTAAAGAGAGAGCAAGCACAGAAGGATCGTATGAAAAAGAAGATTAAAAAGTTGGAAAAAGCTGCCCCAGAAATGATTCCAATTGAGGATTTTATAACACCACTTAAGTACTCGGATAGCAACAGGTAAGTAAGACTGTCTTTCACCACGTGCTTGCATTCATGGTAGAAATACTTTTAATTTCTTTCTCTGAAAAACTGTAATGCAGTGCCAGCCTCGGTAGAAAAGCTTCTCTGCTTCTACGAGGACAGAAATGTGGAAAGCAAATTTAATTTGCTCCTGCTAAAAGTAGTAAAATAATAGTAATATGAATTTCCTGTTAGAATGACCATGGAAAACCTCACAAACATTACATGAATGAAACATATGAAAGGTATTCTCTGGGTTTGGTGCGGGTTTTTTTGGTTTGTGGTATGGTGGGGTTTTTGTTGGTTTTTTGGTGGGTTTTTTTTTAAATTTGCTCTTTGTGGTGCAGGCTGTTTCTCTATTACAATGTTACCTTATTCTTTATCAGGGTGCGAAGTCTTCCCCCTCTGTCATTTGAGGAGACTGAAAGAAGAGTTTTACTTATGAAAAAGTGGTGTTTATTTAAGCAGAAACAAGATAAGGCAGAAAAGAAAACAATTCAGACCCTTGTAGAAGCTCAGCAAGAGGCACTAAAGGAACTGCGCCTTGAATCCGAGGAGCTGTATCAGGCAGCAATCAGACGAGATGAGGGGCTTTTCCCCTTTGAGAGAGATGGACCTAATTATACCCCACCACTTCCTGGTTACGATCCTCCTGAAGGAAAATGCGTTGATATCACCAAAGTGTATACGCAGTGATAGTGGAGTTTGTTGTTCGTCTGGCATGAGCTACTCAGCCGACTGAAGGAGGAAAGAATGGAATACAAATAAACAATTCCTTCTGCAGCTTAAAATACTGTAGGTGTGTGACTGTAAAAAAACATATTAATGAAGTACCTGTTTGTTTGGTTTAAATGGCTGTCTAGATAGTAAGACACCCCACAAAACTACACTAATCTTACTCTTATGCCATGCTAGAACAAGACAAAGTATATTTTACAGAATATTTTATCTTTCTGGGCTTCTCTCTCTCTCATCCCTCCATACAGTCCTGAGCAGCATTTTTATTTGTCCTGCATAAACCATAACTTGGAAGATTCCTGTGATACGAGTAAAGAATGTCACAGTCATCACACCAGAGTCTGTACTTTAAGGGAGGTAGCAGCTGACTGTTTACTGCCTCTCTTTTCAGACTTTGGTGACTTTTGCATATAAGAGGGAAAAGAGATGGAAAACATACTGTGACAAAGCCAAAATTAAGTTTTGGGTTTTTTTTTATATTGCCAGGTAAGTATTGTAGCTAAGTTTCTAACGGTTTGCCCTAAAACAAAACCTCTCTCTCTTCAGTCATTTAAACCTTTATTTTTGTAGTAATTTTGAATACTGCCATCGACACACGCCACCATTCAGGAGCAGTTCCACAAAAGGGCAGGGTTGTAGTTTCAGGGTCTGTAATATCATCCCACCACATGAGAAACTCTTAACCCACAACAACAGTGAATCTGGGAAATGCCTTTTAAGTGCCAGTGGTTGTGATTGTCCTGAACTGGCAGGGAGAAGTCACAGCTTGCTTTTGTTGTCCCACCTGGCAGGCCTGGGGTGGGTACCTTTTTCCAAAACTGCGCAACACCGGCTGGTAGAGGAAGAGGTCCTTGTCTAGCAAGAGGAGCTAGATCATGTATGCACTGATTTGGGAGTTGCCTGCTGAGTTGCTGAGATGAAATCCTAAAGTGTAAGACAGTAGTAAGAGACCAGAATCAAATTAAGCACCTCAATTCTCCCTTTAAAAAATACTGGGTGTTTAAATAAACTCAGTATTTTTGAATGACTACTAAAGTATTGCAGGGCAGAGCTACAGTTGTATAATTTCAAGATGACACGGGGAAAAAAAAAAACAACAGCACAGTTCTGCATTGTGTATTACATTACTGACCAAACACAGCAAAACATTCTTGCTAATTTGGTTTGTCTTGGTCAAGTGGAAGATACCAGTCAGGTGGTGGGCTCTTCCTAAGTGTCCACACTGGAGCATATTTCTGTTTTTCCATAACTCGAGCTCTTTCACTCTTGCACAAAGCTTCCTGAAATACAGGAAAAAAACATTACCAGGATAGTGTTGGATGTTCCAATCTTACAGAGCTTATTTTCTGCTGTGATTATTTGAGGTAAAACGAGGAATGGAAATTTATCATGCTTAAATAAAAGTGCCAAATGCTATGTAAGTAAGCCAGGACACAAGCTTTTAACTATGTCACATTTATATTTTGCCTCTGACTTCTCCCTTATGAAGAAAACTACCACTTAATGTGCTGCTGTCCCCACCAGAAGTTGTCCTAGCTGGCCAAAAGGATGAGTTACGCTGGAGCCTGTGCTTAAGGGCTCTCGTCTTTCAGTGTTTTTGGGCTGTAGCCAGGAGCTTTTCTGGGACGCCCCGGGAATACTTTTTGCCTGTAACGTGGCAGCTTTTCGTATTAGGAAGGGAATATTAGAACAGCCGAAATCACGAGCTTTTACAGCAGAACACCGTGAAAATACTCCCGCTGGATGTCAAGGCCATCTCACCCACCCCCACGCCAAGCAGACGCCTGATTTTCCAACCCCTCCCCGTTGCG